ATATATGATTAAATATATCTAGAAGGATTTGTAAAGGGGGTAAGGAACCTATTCTGGATACAGTACCGGAATTCTGTCCCAAAACCCCCCTTTTTGACACTACTGGAGTCTTATTGATCATATAGATAATAAAGCAAAACCCAATAAAGTTATAGCCTAGAAGGATTCATTAAAAACAAAAAACTGTTATAAGAAGTTATTCGAAGAGTTGGAAGATGATTTGGGTGATATATATATGACTCGAATATTGTCTAAAATCTGGCCAGATGGCAAAACTTCTCAAGAAAAAATAACATTTGCTATATTGGTTTGTTAGACTATACTAAATCCAAAAAATAAAAATATTTCGATTTTGGATCTAGCCGTAATAAAAAAATTAATAGCAATAAATTTGGTAAGTATTTATTAATATTTTTATTATATAGTTTAAACTAATTTAGATTAAATCGAATTGTATCAAATTATTTAGAACAAATTAAAGTACAGTGATTCTTTTTTTATTTCAGATTCTAAAGATGAAGCAAGAAATGATAATAATGATGAAACTATATAAACTAATTTATTTAATTTATTGAAATATAATTTTAAATATTCACAATAATATATCTAATTATTTAAATATATTATAATTAATTAGACTAGACAGTAAACATAGAATTAATTCGAACTATTCCGAAAAGATATAATATGAATATTTAAAAATATGTTGAAATAATTTGAACTAATTTAATATTAATAAATTATTTTAGGTAAATAAAAGACCAAGAGTCGGTAAATAATATGCAAATTTAAAATTTATCTAATTAGCAATATATAGTAGCATTACAATTTGAATGGTTGCAATTTTAATATATATATATTCAAAATTATCAAGGTTGTTGATTTAGATCTGGATAAAGTTCATAAAGCTGAAAAAGAACCAGATAATGATGAAGAAATTAAGAAAGATATGGATGAATATGAGAAAAATATGGATACTAATAAATAAAAGTTTTTTTTGGTTTGTTTTTTTTATATAAGAATAATGCTGTGTTTTTTTTTTTTATATATTTCTTTAATATAGGATTATTAGAAATTTTCTTTTTTTATATTTTTTTATATGTAATATTTTATATTTTAAATAAAATAAAATAATAAAATTATAATAAAATATATATTTTTTTTTTTAGCGATCATGCTACATGCCCATGCTTTATTGATCATTAATTAAATCTGAAAAAAAAAGAATACATCTAAAGATACGGGTATGTAACTCACCCAGTTACTTATATAGAATACCTAAATATTCATACACCTGTGTGCGACATGCCAAAGATGATTTTAATCTCCCAGTTTGGTTCAACCTGCATCAAGCCGACCCACCCCGGTTCACCGACCTGGTTCATCAGCCCATCATGACTGCCTTCTTTCTCAACTTTTTTCTTCTAGCCTTCTAGATAGAAGAATTCTACCAAAGAACAATGGGAAATTTACGAAATAAAAGGAATATAGTCAACTATGGATGTAACAGACACCTTTGCACCGGTTTCACAGATCTAGCAAACTATAAATAAAGTACCGAATTTTTAATAACAATTTTAAATAGGTGTAACAGATTTGATATTAAAATTGCTATATTATATGTAATAGAATTTTTTGCCAGCCCACTTTTCAATTTTATTAAGAATTTTTTGTGGATGTAACGGATTTGTAAATGTATCTACCAAATATTCAATCAAAATGTAAATTATCTGCATGTAACTATATGAAAAGTTTAAGAAAGCAAAATGACGCAAAGTTTAAATCTTCTCCCCTTCGCTTATAAAATCTGATGCAATAATGTTATCTCTTTTATTCTTTTTTTTTTATTTTGAATTGGAGCTAATGTATTAATGATATTAAAAATGCAAACATAGTTATCACTATTGATCAACTTGATGACATTCTATATTGTTCTATATTCTGGGTTACAATTTTTTTTTTAAAAAAAAAGCTGGCATAATATGGGTTATTATAAAAGTGAATACCTGGAAATCTAATTAAAATACCATTTTTTATTAATAGAGATGCACCACTTGACAACTTGATATTCCACGCCCTGGGTTAATAAAATAAAAGATAATTAAAAAAAAAAAATTAAAAAAAATAAAAAGAAAAAAAAAAGAAAGTGTAGTATAAACTACTGCGATATGAGGATATGGGCTGCTGTGATAGCAATATGAAGATATGGGCTGCTGTAATAGTGATATGATATAATCTGCTACAAGAGCAGGTACCTGAGGGAAATATTATCATTGTTGATGGATATAATCATTTGATAACTTGACGTTTTATATCTTAGGATTTAAATAAATAAATAAAAATAAAAAAAAGATACAGTATTTATGGTGTAATATGGGCTACTGTAAGAGCGAATACTAAAATACATAAGAATTATTTCTATACAGCTTTAAATTACAATTATCTTCATTCATATTTCTAAATGCATTTTCTAAATTTTTATTAAGTGGACGTCCAAATGCACAATCTAGAGTAGAACTATCAGCTCTAGAGTTGTATTAACTCTAAATACTTGATTGGGCTTCTGGGTAAGCAAAAAATACCCAGTTGATAATTTTACTATAGCTCCTGCTAACCCTAACTTGTTCTTTAAAGTGAGAAATTTCGAAACCTGATCATCACATATCCTTGACTATCACATTGCTGAATAATGAATGACTAAAACTTTGTATTGTCTTGTGAAGTATATAAGGTATGTGCAAATTTGTATACAGAGGCAAATTTTTTTTTCTTTGAAAAAATTTTTTTTTAATTTTAACAAACGCGTTTTATATTGCTATGATAAAAATATTCACTAATACTAACTTACTTCCTGTTAAAAGAAATATCTTACGGCTAAGGAAAAGAAAGAAATTTGTAAAAAAAAGCAGCAGTTTCTATCTATTTTAAATACAGAACTTGTTGCTGATTATAGTGTCAAGAAAACATGTATATCTGATATTCTTAAACAGTCTTCTAAGTGGTTAAATATTGATACGAATAACAAAACTGAAGCAAACCATAAATATAAATGTTAACCAAAGTGGCCAAAATTGGATGAGACTATGTGTGTCTGGGTCAAAAGTACACTTGTAGCAAATATGGATCTAACTCAAGCTGCACTTCTTACCAAAGCTAAAACTTTCGCTGAAGCCTTAGATATTTCTGATTTTAAAGGTACTGATTAGGTTAATGGATTTCAAAAATGGCTTGGTCTTCATCAATATAATAGAAATAGTGAAGCTGCTAGTTCCCCATTAACAAAATCTTTAAACAAATATAGAGAACATCTTCAAGGGCTTTGTGAAGGATATACCCTTGACAACATTTGGAATGCAGATGAGACGTCTCTTTATTGGAAAATGTGTCCGTCTAAAACTCTTGTGCAAGGTCCTGTATCTGGCTATAAAAAAGAAAAGGCTCGAGCTACTTTAATGTTTGCAGTAAATGCAATTGGAACAGAAAAGCTCTCTTCTGTTTTTATCCATAAATTTCAAAATCCACGTCCTATTCGAAATTTACATAAAGAAAATCTGCCGGTTTGGTACTATTGGAATGAAATAGCGTGGATGCAAGTCTCCACATATAATAATTGGTTAGAACGTGTTGACAAAATAATGAAATGTCAAAACCGCCAAATTCTTCTTTTTGTTGATTTTTGTACTACTCATATTTGTCAAGTGCAACTTGACAATATTTGTATTGAAAAAATACCAAAAAATACTACTGCCCATCTTCAACCATGTGATGCCGGCATAATTAATTTATTTAAATGCCATTATAAATGTATTTTTGTAGAAAATCAGCTTGTCATATTTGATAAAATGAAAGCAACAGGATCTCCTGAACTTGAAGAATTTAGTATTCTTAATGCAATTAATACTACCTCTGATGCATGAGACAATATTACTCAAGAAATGATTATGAATTGCTAGTTAAAAACAGAAATTCTTTCTCGATACCAAGTGGCTGAAAGAGATTTGGCTTGTCAACAGGTAGAACTAAAGTTAAAAAATGAGTTTGATGCACTTGACAGTTTAATTTTTGATATAATGATAAATGGTGAAGTTAATGTTTCTATGAGTGCAAATGAATTTGTTGATATTGATGCAGATGTCATTTTTGAAATGTTATCTGATGGAGATATAATCTATGGAATTGAGAATAGAGATAATGATCCTTATGAAGAAACATTAAAGCTATCACCACTACCCAAAGTCACAGATCATGAAGCTTTGAAAGCTTTTCATTTAATTGAAACGTATCTTTTACAACAATCAGATGATTTTTGTGCTATTGATCAAGATAGAAATATCATTCGTCGGCTAAGAAAAAAGGCTTCGAAACATTATAGTTTTCAAAAGAAACAAGTTAAGATTACAGGATTTTTTCATAATGAAAATTAAATAATTTTAGTTAGGAGTTTTTTTTTTTTTTATCTTTTTTTTTTTTCGCTTTTTTTTCGCTTAGCTTTTTCTACTCACGAATTAGTATAGGTTTTAACAGAAAATTACTTTTTTTTTCTTAGTTGTACTTCAATATATAGTACAAATGATTTTTTTTTTACTTTATTATAGTAATCAAGAGCCTCGCTTTATTATCTGAATTTTAATAAGTCTAATAAAGTATAGAATATTATGAATTATGACATATTAAATTATGATGCATTATTAAATAAGCTATAAGTTAATGAAATTTTGGATTGATTTTTTCTATTACAAAATAATCAGATCAATCATCTTTTTAATTAAACCGATTTTTACTAGCATCGTAAATTGTATATATATAAACATACCTATAACGAAATATTGCAGCTACCTACTATAATTCTGTTATACAAATATACCAGATATGCTATGTAACAGAGGCTTTTTCTCAGCCCAGATTTCCATTATATCCATAGTTGACTGTAGTAAAAAAGAGGAAAAAATTTAAACTAAACGAAAACAAAAAACAAACAAAAAAGAAAGAGAGAAAATGAGAAAAATGCTAAAAAAAAGAATGGCCATGACGGCACTATTTTTGCCTATGCAAGGCTATATAAATTATATAATATTATATAGAATAAAATCTAATCTAACACTATATATAATAAAAAAAGTAGAAAATAAAATAAAAGAAAATGTCTAACATTAAGAAATTTTTACATATGATTCCTCTGATCCCCTATACTGTAAATAGTACTGCCATCATTGTTTATTTGGCAAAGCATAATTCAAATAAGCTCATGAGAGGTTTAATTTTAGTAGACGCGTTCTAATTTGAAAGGAGTAAACACTGCCGATCTTTTGGAGAGGGTATGCCGATTTTTTCACTTTTTGGCCAAAATTTCAAAAAAAAATTCAAAATAGCAAAAATATGATAGAAGATCTTCGGTTGCAGGTACTTTCAAAACTTCTAAAGGGTGTGTTAAAATCTAAAACTTTTGTTGTTTCTTTTGTGTTCTTCTTCGAAGTAACAGCCTAGGGCTTCGTCGATAAAGTAGCAGCCTAGTATGTAACTTACTCTCTTCACCAAGATTTTTCATACAAAGGCACTCGGGTAGCAACTTCTTGCCAGTTATCTTGTATAATAACACTCCTGGCTTGCATACCGAATGTCCTTTAGAGGAGTCCCCCAATAGGAAAAGGTTGACCTCTAGACAAACCGCACCGTAGAGCCACGTTTTTCCAACAAAAGTTTTGTTTTTCGTTAGTTGAAATTTTGGTACGAGTGATCATCAGGGAGAGTTAAAGTATTATATATGATTATCCCTTAAACTGTAAGCAATTCTAGGCAAATTTGCCTGGAAAATTGCTATAAATTTGCTTATGATTTATTTTTTTTAAAA